CATTACTGTAATCGCTGTCTCTTGCCACCTCTCTCTCCTCTCTTTTTATCTCTGTACGAATGACAGTAGCAGAGAGTGAGAGAGATTAGGGCGCATTAATTATATTTGGGAGTCTACAATAGACTTGTCATGAGCAGGTGACAAACACACACACACACACACACACACACACAGTCCTGTCACAGGTCAGATATTACTGTTACATTACATAATGCGTAAAACACTCCTGCAAACCTCATAAGCATCAGATTCAAACCCACTTTAAAATTCTAATCAAATAAAAAATCGAATGATCCTGATTTGGTCAGATTCTGTAGACGTGTTCGAGCAGGAAGCGTTGAACGCCTTTGAAATGTTCTCTCATCTTAAGCTTGCATGTTCTGTTTAGTTCTCGAGCACATCCTGATCTAGAACAGCTTTAATCGTCTCAAGACGCACGACTTCTGTTCGGTCCTGCTGTTCGGCGAAGTCAACTGCACCTCCTAGTGGAGCAGTTCGAGGTGGTACTGTACAATCCCTGGGTGCGGTTCATCACACACATCCGGCTCTACCGGTGTACTGTGAGCACTATAGAGCCTGCGAGATGGCACGGTGAATTATCGAGTCGAGTCTATTCGATCTGAGAAGTCGCTCAAGGTGACGTTCTGATGGTATATCTACGTCGCAGTGCCAGCGACACCGGGGTTTTCATGTTTCTTTCCAAGGATGACGTCATAATATGTAATATTATGAAAAATCTCCACGCTTTGCTTCATATCGCTGAGCGATGGTCCAGTTGAAATCTCTGTTTCATTGTTGTACTTCATGACCACAGAATACATGCAGATCTCAAGAAACTCATGGCCTCAATATATACGGATGTCTAGAGCTCTGGAAAAATTCTGACTAACCCCCACCCACTCATGCGGTTAATATTTTAGTTGCACACGCCTGACTCCATGTTCCCACCCGCACGGTTTGTTTGTTGGGGTCCCACAGGATCCTGTCCCAGTGCTCACCTGTACTCTAAACGTTCAGCCCATGAAACGTCGCAGGTTGGTCCAACGGTTGAAGTTGTATGGTCTTTGGTACCTGTTCGAGACTGGCACCGACTGACAGAATGGTGATACTCGTAGATAATGTTAACAGTACTATTGATTGATGACTGTGTTTCTCCGTGTATATCTATCTGTACTGTCTGTGAAATCACTCAGGCCAGAGTCCAGTTGGCATTACTGTATCAGTGTGTTGTAAACCCTGATATGATAAAACAGTGACCTTTTTATTTATTTCATTCTTTTGAAAAAACACCATACATGCTAAAATCAAGTGCCTGCTAAATATTTACTACACATTGACACAGAGAGTCTTTTTTTTTTAAACGTTTTTAACGTGGGCCAGAATTAGATTGGTGGCCAAGTGCACGTGGCAGCATTTTCCATTTGAATGTCTTTTAACTGTCCTTATGGAATTGCTAGCCTGCTTTGTGTCCTTACTGTATTGCTAGCATTCTATGTGTCGTTTAATCATAACTAGCATGCTGGGTGTGCTTATGGTATTGCTAGCGCACTATACATCCTTACATTATCACTAGCATCACAGCATGCTAACAATACCATAAGGACACACAGCAGGCTAGCAATACCATAAGGACACACAGCAGGCTAGCAATACCACAAGGACAAACAGGATGCTAGTAACACCATAAGGACGCAGAGCATGCTAGCATGCTTTGGCTCTTCATGGCATTGCTGACATGCTCTGTGGCCTTATGGTGTTGCTAGCCTGCTGTGTGTCCTTATGGTACTGTTAGAATGCTGTGCATGCTTATGGTATTGCTAGCATGCTGTGTGTCCTTATGGCATGTTGCTAGCATGCTGTGGCATTATGTCATCATGGCATCACTAAAGTGCTGTGCTTCTGTATGGTATCACCAACATTGCGTGCACTTACTGGACACTTTATTACATCACCGATATGTCCACACTCCATGTCTTTATGGTAGTGCTAGCATATCGTGTTCCTCCAGTGCCACTTGAGTCCTGTCGTACACTTTCTGTATGGCTTTGACCACTCTGTTTAACAAAGCTGCTGCCTCCGCCTGCGTCCTCACACACATCAGTTTGTAGAAGAACTGTCTGTCAGGCATGGCTATGAACGCCAGCTCCGCCGCCTTCTTCACCCACCATGAGTGGTGCTCAGCCAGTGTGAGACGATAAGCCTCTCGACAGAGCTCGGATGGGCTGCGCGCCAACATTTCCCTCTTTTCTTCAGCCAGGTTGTGTAGAAAGAGCTGCAACCAGAGAAGAGCGCGATGGAGGCGCAGTAGAGTCCTGCAGCCTGATTCTGTCAACTGGTCAAAGTTCACTAAACCCTGCTCCAGCTCCAATGCGATCATGGAGCGCACTGAAACATATGCACCACTGGAGGCTGAGACTTGCGCTTGCTGATTTCGTTCCTCCTCCTCTTTTTGAGCAAGCTTGCGGATAATGGAGGTCTTCGACTCAATTTCCTGGGAGATTATACCCACCATTGGTCCCAAGGACTCCATGAACCTAAAAACAACGACCAGTGGTTTTCAGAGAAAAACACTCGGAAAAAAAACATTTGGTGTAATTGTTGCTTGGTGAAAGCTGAGTCTAATCAGTATTCCAGTGTGTCCTTGTTGTATTGTTTTACCTACAAAATGATTTGGTCAGTACCTATTGGGTAACCCTTAAATGTTTTTTGTAGAACCCTATAACTGAGAGTTTGTCTAGAGAATGTTCTTCAGGAAGCTAAGACCTCGTAACTAGCCACAGAACCTATGAGGAACCAGAAGAACCCTATAACGGAGTTTCTCTAGAGAGCGTTTCATATAGAACCTATTTAGAAAACTAATTGATTTTAACTAGGCAAAGAACACCTTATAAAGAACAGAGATTTCCCTTAGAGACGGTTCTAAGTAAAAGCTCTGTAGCAAGCTAAGAAGTCTTAAGTAGCCAAAGAACCTGTGAGAACCTGGAAGAATTCTATAAGAGATTTTCTCTAGAGAGGGCTTCAATTAGAACTCATTTAGGAGGCTAAGAAGTCTTTCCAAGCCAATGAATCCCCCAAGGAACCCCCAAAGAACCCTATAACAGAACCCTCCAAGTGAACCATCTTTTTTTTTCTTTTTACAAGAGTGAATTTACTTTCTAGCTTGTCTTAAGTGCTTTCTTACTTGATGAGCTCATCCCAGCTGGCTAGGTATGGGTTTAGCAAAACATCATTGGTTGAGACAGGTGCCGCCTGCAGATGCATCAGCAAATAAGCAATCTGGAATTTTTGTCCTGGACACACCTCCAATGGAGGTGTGATGTCTTCTGATGAGGTGTTACTCCCGTATAAACTGATAGACTAAGAAAGCGAGTGTAATTAGGTCAAAAAGCAAGTAATTAAGTGGACAAAGTGACCGTTCTGAGTCTCTATTATGATGTAGGAGCTCTGTAAGGAAAACGGTAGGCATTGTATTCACAGCAATAGACGTACCTGATCTTTCTTAATGAAATCATTTAGGCAGTAGTCCCAGCAATGATCCAAACCACCATCTATAAAAAATAAAAAATAAATAAAAAAGAGGCAGGATTAGGAGAAGATTGCAGGAGATTACAGGAGATTCATTTCTCATCCATCACAAACAGAAGCTTAAATAAACTTTCCCAGTGATAAAAAAAACTAAAATAACTATAAAGGTATATTACAGGCAGCATAAGGTTAATCATCGCCAAGAGCTGAAGGCAAACAATGAGCTCTCCTAGGTTTGCCAGTCCCAAGCGTCTGTGTGACTGGGTGGTCCACCAGACAAAAAACCCTCACAATTACGACACCGTTAAGTGGGAGGTACTGATAAGATGTGCTGGATCAAGTGCTATTTGGTAAGCTGCCAGACAATGAGGGTAGATGCCATATTGTTAAATATTACCATCTTTTCATTCGTAGATCCTGTCAGTTTTCCAGTCTCCAACTGGAATGCTGGAGTAGGAATGTTTAAAAATAAATAAATAAATAATTTCTTTCCAGAGCTATGCAAAATGAAAAATAAATCGTTTCTAATCTGTGATATAAACATCAACATTTATATAATCACGGGGGTTGAAAACATATCAGCTGTTTAGGACAGTCATGGCACTAATCTTAGATTTGTAACGCTCTGCATACACCCACCCACACTGAGTAAATGCAGGTTTCTTTGTGGACTTTGTGTTGTTTTACTAAACAGTCAAAGGAGGATACCAATTGTATCCACAACACACAACACTGCATGGAACATTGTAAAGTCCTTTCTCTGAAAATTTTGAATATGTCCGATCTAAGGTCAGTATACAGGTGCATCTCGATGAGATACTGGATTTTTGATTTCCATGAGCTCTAAGCCGTAATCATCAAGATTACAAAACAAAACAAAACAAAAAAGCCGTGAAATATTTCAATTCATGTGTAATGAATCTAGAATATATGAAATTACAGGGAAAAAATTTACTTTTCCACAATATTCAAATTGTTTGAGATGCACCAGTAGTTATGACAGTTAAAGGAGTAGTATGTTAATTTTAAAGCCATCTGCTGGCTGTGAGATGAATTGCAACTGCAGTGAAAACACTAACCAAATGCTGTCCATTTACTGCAACTAACCCCAGCCTCTTTGTAGCGTTTTTGGGTGCAGCTTTGCTTCGATTTGGGGCAGTGCTTATTTCTGGGTCAGAAAAATGTAAACAGGATCCTGAAATTAGTCAACTACTTGATGTCTGTTGCTTAGTAATATTATAAAACATGGTTGGTTATAAGGTATCTTTAAAATGATTTGATTATTAGACATGTAAAGACACTTTCAATTATTACATACTGCACCTTCGAGAAAACAGTGGAGACTTTTACATTTGCGGCATTTGGTAGACGCCCTTATCCAGAGAAACTTACAATTATCTCATTCTTTTTGTACACAACTGAGCAATTGAGGGTTAAGGGCCTTTCTCAAGGGCCCAGCAGTGGCAGCTTGGTGGTGGTGGTGGTGGGATTTGAACACACGACCTTCCAATCAGACGTCCAACATCCGAACCAATGTACCACCACCTCTCCTTTTATTAGAGAACATGACTGGAAAATAAACTGTTCCTTAAGTTTCCTAAAAAATTAAAGTGTGGAAATTTGTTCATGTAAATCAGATTAGAGTTGCTGTTTGCGTGTCGGTTTTAAACAAAAAGGTTACGTCTTTTCTGGATTATGGATTAATCAGGGCTCCATGGAAAAGGTACTTACAAAGCCATGAAGAGAAAAGAAAGATGGTGATGAAGAGGACAGCCAACGTGGCCCTTCCTCTCACTCCCATCCTGCCCTGCTGTTTCCTTTCTCCTCTACGATATTTTCTTCCATACACACGTCTTCACTGGCTGGTCCATGCTTCTCCTGCGAGCTCGAGATCTTTGGCTTTCCAAAAACCAAATATTCGTCTCCTTATTGAAGATGAAAAAGTAGAACTTGTATTATAGCCTCCGTGTTCTGTCTTTCTCTTCGTACTTCTCTTCACAGTTTGTGGACTCCAAATGTTTTATGGACTCGCTCATGTTGGGCCGTTCAGTCTGTGAGTCCATAGATTAGTTATATGTAACCAATTGCTGCTTTAAAGTCATCGTCCTATAGCAACCCTGTTTTAGTGCACAGGATTACAAACACTATGACCCTGAATCACCTCGGCAAGATCTCATTGACAAGTCTTTTGTCGTGTCACGTTCTCCTGACATGTCACGAATATCAGAACACGGTGACCCAAGAGGCCAGTGAATATTCAATGTCGTTGTCAACATTCCCCTTGAATTCAAACAACGTGCAAAATAAAGACTAAATAAGAAGGACAATGAAGAATGTCTTGTGAAGGATAGCTGGAGACTCTGTAAGAAAGTGAGCTGTATTGGGGTTTTTATTTTATTTTATTTTTGAGAAATACATTTAATTTGCTTAAATTCTGAATGGACTAGCATTGCGAGGAAGCCACCTTTGGACCATCGACTGCTCAGCTTGATGTTTGGATTGTGTCTGGTAAACATACAAATCAATGAAAAAAATCAATGAAACAGCAACATTCAGAGTCTTGTACTGGACTCTATATTATACCAGATTAATTCTCTTTATATCACAGTGCTCTTGATTGATTGATTCGGATTGGTCTAAGAAAAAGAGGTGCGAGGAAACCAGAATTCATACCATGGTGAAACATCACATTTCTCTTATTACGTTCCCTAAGTGCACTGGGCAAGCCGAAAGACACAGCTGCTGACCATCTGACATTTCCTTGGCTACTCTATCCAAGTGTCATTAGATCTAACTGGAGCATCACACGAATTCCAAACATCTCTGTCTACAGCGCTCTATAAATACTAGCGGAAACCGAGACACGCTACAGAAGAGAGCAACCGGAAACGCCACGTCCGGCTTCGCAGTGTTCTTTGCATGAGTGGTTTCTTCCCTAGTAAAATACATGTCTCTGACCGTTCCCCATTCGTGTATGTTGATTTGACAATAAACAGAGCGGTGAGTTCAGTAATACTTTTCGAATTATTGTTAACTTTGACTGGTAGAGAATAACTCTGGGTGAATGTGTTTTCAGACCCTGAATCCCATTATACTCAGGCTGTTGAACTATTTATGGCACTAATCATTCTGGTATCTCCTTATGGATTATTGCCACTAATAAATGACGCCAAAACACTCAGGGTGGAGACGGGAATCGAACGCCCAACCCTGGAGCTGTGAGGCAAGCATGCTAATTTACGGAATGTTGTTACAGTTATTATCATTTTATTATTATTAAACTTAATTGCATTTATGTCTGTTCATGATTGCATTTTCTCTGCACATTGACAAAGCTTATGTTACACAATAATTATCTTCACACACACACACACACACACACACACACACACACACACACACACACACACACACACACACACACACATATCTATAAATATATATATACACACACACACACACACATATATATAAATAAATATATATATATATATATATATATATATATATATATATATATATATATATATATATATATATATATTATATATATATATATATATATATATATATATACACACACACACACACACACACACACACACATAAAAACATACAAACATACATACACACACACACACCTCCTGTGCTATTGACCCTGCCAGTCAAAGTGTTGGTTATTTATATCGTAGTGGGGTAAAATGGACAAGAGCCTTGCAGCCAGCTCTCCACTCCATCGGGTAAATTTGCTCTGATTCTTTACAAAGGAATCTGCATTAACAGGAACTTCTTTTTTTTTTGGAAACGCTGTCATGCTTTAACCCTGTGTTAAATATGGAATTGTTCTGGCTGCATTTTACTGCAAATACTGTATATCTCTTGTAAATATTCTTCTATCCTAAATGTATTGTTAGCACTCTTAACATTTTCTTTCCTTATCCCTACCGTCACATTTGGGTATGAACCAAGTGGGAAACAATGATCCGAAATTCATTCTAATGGTGGCCCCGATGAAGAGGGGCCAAGCCAGGGGGGTTGACTTTAAGAGCTGTGCCAAGTGTTGGAGTGTAACCTGAGCCGAACTCAACAACAGCTGAAGCTCGGGAAGGGCAAGGAGCCACTCAGACAGAAGGGCTCTTGGTGTTTCTTTCTTACAAAGTCTCACTCAGACGTGTTGAAGGTGGCGATCGACCAAGCCTGGCGATGGTGGCCCGGTCGATTTGGACTTGTTTGGTTGTGGTTGCGCTTGTGAACACAGTAGTGCAAGGTAGGTGTGGATTTTTGGATGAAGCTCATATCTGTAGTGTCCTGTCTTCCTCTAGGTCTCTCTTCTCTCTCTCTCTCTATCTCTCTCTCTCTCTTCTCACCTCCCTTTGCCACCACTGTCTCTTCTTATCTTTCTTGCATGTCACCCACTTGGACCAAATTGATTAACGGCGGTAACGGTTTAACATCTAGCCTACAACACATGCTGAACAGTTGGTACACTTGCAGGTACTGTAAATCTCTGATGTGCTGGAGAGAGTCCTAGAATGGGATCTCTATTTTAGATCATCTCTATCATCTCTATTTTAGATCATTTAGGCTCTCCAGCTATCAGAATAGTAAATATCCTTTGCTTCTGGTTTAGTTTTGGATGTTTACTATGTCAAGAATAAATCACATTCTGTTACAGGAAAATAATAAATGATGAGGTGACTCTTACCATGCCACAGTGAATTTTTTTCCCTATTGAAGTAAAAAGAAGAAGAAGAAGAAGAAGAAGAAGAAGAAAAGTTTGTTATTTTCCAGAGGAACCACAAAGCTTCTGTCCTGAGTACTATCCTGTGTTGGAAAATGTAAAGTTACAGCTTTACCTCTGCCTGTTACAAAGCACTGACCCTGGAGACTCCTTCCATAGATGCAAACAAAAACAAAACAACTCCTTAGAGAAAAACTTCTCCATAACAAGTGGAGTGTTCACCATACAAGTCCCTGTGCAAGTTGTTATTATAGAAGCAATAATGTACTAGAACGGGCACATTAATATAAATCTGTGATTTGCAGCTGCACTACTGTCAGAAAATGTATCAACATCTCCTGACCAATCAGAATCCAGAATTCAACAGAGCTGTCGGTTAGTTAACAGCAGCAGGAAGTCAACTTACTCTCTCTCTCTCTCTCTCTCTCTCTCTCTCTCTCTCTCTCCCTCTCTCTCTCCAGTCAGTGCAAATGAAGAGTCTCTGCTCATGGCAGATATTTTTAAGAACTATAATAAGAACATCCGGCCAGCAAGACACCCTGAAGACAAGGTGGACGTTCAGGTCAAACTCACCCTCACCAACCTCATCTCCCTGGTAACCACCAAAAATCCATTACCTATTCTACACTATAATAATAGCAGACTCATAACAATAGACAATAGTTCATACACTACATCTGTAAGCCACACATTTTGCTGTAATTAATATTATAGTCAGCAGTTTTAGCTGATGTTGGCTCAATTTCCTGAGCGGCATTGGTAGAATCAGTGGTTAAGACTATAGCTTCACCGATAGTGGAGTTTACCGATACCGATAACTCAGTTGGGCGGTACCTACCGATAATCGATAATCGATTAATCAACCGATAGTTTTTAAAACTGTGAAACACAGAGTACTGACTGTAGCATGAAGATGTAGGCCTACTGTACTATTTTTAAAATGAAATAAATATAAAAAATATTCGTATGTAAACTATTAATAAATAAAAGATGTACATCCAAACTGACCCAAAAAGTAACACTTCAAATAACATATAAAAGATAGAGACAACCAAAATGAATCAAAAACTCTTGTCAGTGATGGATATTATTTCGCCTCTAGAGGCCGCTCTCGTGCTGTAAAATGACAGCAGATCTTTCTCAGCTGCTCCTGCACCGGACTCTACTGGGAAAAACTATCGGTGTGGATTTTTGTCGATAACCGATAGTTTCAGCAATAAGTTATCGGTGCTGATTAATACCGGCAAAACCGATCAATCGGCCGACCTCTAGTTAAGATATTGGACTACTGATCGGAAGCTCATGAGTTCAAACCCCAGCACTGCCAAGCTGCCAATGTTAGGCTCTGGAGTAAGGCCCTTACCCCTCAACTGCTCAGATGTATAAATATAAGTTTATTACACTTTCTGAAAACGCAAAACTGATTAACAATGCACTATTGTCGTGATTGGTTAGAAATTGGTGTACATTCTTTGCTTTTATTGACGGTTTGTGAATTTGAGCAAAACTTCAACAACAATGTCTAAGTGCTCCTATTGAAGATTTATAGGTAATTTATATTTGTTTTGCTTCACATATCCTGACGTTCGACAGAACGAGAAAGAAGAGACGCTGACCACCAATGTATGGATCGAGATCGTGAGTAATCAAGCCGGTGTTTTGGGCTAGTCATGATCTCTGACCTCTGTTGTGACCCAGGGTTAGGATTATGTCCCATCATTTCCCCTTGATCTCTGTGTAATTTGAATTAAACACTCATAATAATGTCAAACAGGAAATTTAAGCCTCTTCTGAGGTCCTGTTCA